GTGTCTTCCAATGTTTCTCTGAGTCCTTGTATTGCCCTTTCTGGAAGAAACAGCAGGGACAACCTCCTGGAACCAAATTGTTCTGTTTCTTGCTTCCTCAGCTACAAGCATCATGTGCAGCAGTCACAATGTCATTTTCACATGCCATTTCCAGCATCTGTTTGCGGTTGCCACACTTGCTGTTACCAAAATCCTTGTTGCCAAACAGTTGTGACCTGCCTAAGAACAAAGCTAGCCCCTAGGCTTTCCCTTTCCTGCTAATGCAAACAATAGCAACACCCACGCTTACTGTACACACATGATGCATATTACAACATTCCAGTCAGAGCCCCATCAGCTTTTCCTGCTCATACTCTAATGTTCCCCCTATAAAAGGAATCAGGTTAAAAACAAAAACAAAAAAACCAAACAGCTCAGTTCAGTTAACAAGTCACACCCGGTCCAGTGAGTCAGCAGCATGTATTCAGTACCACTGGAAAAGCTATTTCCTGCCCTCTTAGTATACATTCTTTTCACCCAGTGGCTAGCTAGCTGCCTGTGTGAAATTCAGAAGTTGGACATGAGTGCAAGAGCATCCTAAAGCTAGTATTTCCCAGCAACTGGTATAGAACTTACACTGCTCCTGATACTAGAGGTAGCATATAGCCATCAAGACCAGCCACCATGGACTTTGTCCTCTCTGAATTTGTCTAACCCCTTTCTGAAGCCATCACTATACCATGTGGAAGTGAAATCTGTACTTTCATAGAATTATAGACTAGTAGAGTTGGAAGGGGCTAAGAAGGCCATTGGGTCCCACTCTCTGCTTTTGCAGGACACCATCCCACTCAGATGGTTGTCCAGTTTCTTTTTGAATGTCTCTAGTGTGGGAGAGTCCACCATCTCTTAGGCAGCTGGTTCCACTATCATATTGCTCTGACAGGGAGGAAGCTTTTCCTGGTATGTAGCCTGAATCTGGGTTGTCGCAGTTTGAATTGATTATTTGGTGTCCTACACTCTGGTATCAGCAAAAAGAGATCTTGGCCTTCCTTTTTGTGACAGCCTTTGAGGTGCAGTGGTACCTTGGCTCACAAACTTAATCCGTTCCAGGACTCTGGTCGTGACCCAAATTGGTTGTGAGCCAAGTTAAATTTCCCCATGAGGTTCAGTGTAAATAAGGCTAATCCGTTCTGTGACCATTTTTTAAATCAGAAAAATGTGAAGCAAAGTGACAACCAAGATTGCAGCCATCTCCCCCCCGTCCGAGCTCAAGCACGGACATCTCCTCGCTCCCACAGCATGACAGAGATTGCGCTCATCATCCCGGCACGCGCCCGTCATCCTGGCATGCTTGGGGGTGGGGGGAAGAGACGGGTGTGATTGCAGGCGCACTGGGGGAGGGAGAGATGGGCGCAATCTCGGCCATCTTCCCCCCCCCCCCACCCCCAGCACGATTGCAGCCATCTCCCCACTCGGGGGTGGGGTAGGGAGATGGCTGCGATTGTGCTGGTTGGGGAGGGGAATGGCTGAGTTCGCACCTGTTTTTCCTGCAGGAGCGCACCTGTGATCATGCATGCCTTCCCTACACAAATGGAACTGCGATCGTGGACATCTCTCCACTTGGGGCTGTGGGGGGATGGCTGTGATCTTGGTTGCCACCCAATGTGGAGTTCACGACCCACATCAAAAGTTTAATGAAATTTTTGTTCGTGACCCAATTTGTTCGTGAACCAAGGCGTTCATGAGCCGAGGTACCACTGTACTTTAATTATACACTGCATGAAGAAGTCCTTCCTTGAATCTTGAATCTTCCACCAACCAACTTGATGCAATGTCTGCCTTCTAGTAATATGAGCAGTGGAGTACTTTCTCCACTCTATGCATACTTTTAAGCACCTCCGATTATAGGATGATGCTACAACTATGGAAGAGAGATTCACTTGTGGATCCCTCTTTCCCACTCCCAGCTGCTTTGGAAAGTTCCATAGTGGCTCCTTTTGTGAGGGCTCAACAGACAGAGGTGGTGGAAATAGAGCAGGAGGGAGCAGATGTAGATCTCCTGGACCCACATGCTTCTTTATTCCTGCCCTTGCCCCCCAGGAAGGTAAGAGAGGTAGATTGACCTCTAAGGCTACAAAAGTACTTGTTGACTTAAAATGGGTGGAAGGGTCTGAGAGTCTTCACAGAACATTTGGGTGAATTTGGGTGACAATGGAGCATAGGATGCTGCCTTATACTGAGTAGGGTGGCCATGTGTACTATTTTACTGAAGGCAGTTCTCTATCTGAAGGGTTGTCAGAGAAGAGTTCTGTAACTGAAGGTTTCATCTGTTTGAAGGGTTGTATTCAACCTGGGTCCAAACTAAAGATAAAGAACCAGAAGATGGAAGAGCTATTGTTCATCAGCACATAGCACTGGCATAGTAGACTGAGCTGTGTGGTCACACGCTTCCCTGTATTTCTATAGAAATCAAAATTATTTTTTGCAGAATTTACAGTATTTTTCATTTTTTTATTTAAAATTAACTTTTCCACCCTGTCCACCGACATCTCGGGATGGCTTACAATTTTTAAATGTATATCAATACAATAACACATTTCCTGCAAATCTGAATCAACTTCTTTTGAGGCCACCATCTTCAGATTTGTATTTGCTGGTGCTACAAAAAAGGGCTTTCTTAGGAGCTGCTCTCAGGCTGTAGAACCCTCTACTGGGGGAAACAGGTTCATTCCCACTCCCCTTTTCTCCTTCTAGCAGGAAAACACCTTTATATTCTAGCAGCAGACTGTTGGCATGTAAGTGGGTCTGTTGGGCTGGATGCTATCTTTTGTCCATTATTGTTGTTTTTAATGTGCTAATGCATTTGCTTATTATTGTTTTAATCAAGCTGTATTTATTATTATAAGCTATATGTGTGCTATTTTTCTTGGAAGAAAGGCAGTGTGCAAATAAATTAATTATAGTGCAATCTAATGATCTCGGTGTTCCAAGCACATAAGCCCTGGAACTTGAAGGCTAATGTGCATCCAGTGCATGGTGCAAGGTGTTACAGCAGCAATCTTCTCACCTGGCACCCTGCATTTCACCTGGGTGGCTTCTTTTGGCCATCTAAATGAAGTACTAGACAGAGGAAAGATGGCTGATGGATGCACCATTTGGATACAGTGCAGGCTGTCGGCCTAAGCATTTTCCCCTTCCCAACCACTTTCCTGCCTCTCGGAGACCAATTTCTGACCTTAGAGAGGCAGGCAGCATGCTTATTTCTGTGCCAGCTGCAAGCAAGGAGGCACAGCATTTGAGATCCTCGCTCCAGTGTTGCATGACCTCAAATCTGGGGCTCCAAATAATCTTACCCCCCACCCCACAATGTTTGGAAGCTATAGGAGTATGCTCTTAATCTTGTTTTTTATTTTTATTTTTTTGCGAGGGAGGTAGCATAGTTCCTCTTTTTTGGCTAGTGTAATGCTAAGGCAATTTGTCTATCTAGCCTGATCTCTATTCCAACTGGCTGTTGCTCTCCAAGTCTTTCTCATAAGCCACTGATCCTTTTAAGTGGCAGAGAATGATTTTTTGCTATCACTCTTGAACCTTTTAAGTGGAAATGCCAAGGACTGAATTAGGAACCTTCTCCATGCAAATAATGTGCTTACTCCTGAGCTAGGTTCCCTGGAACATTTGCCAAGCATGTGCTTTCAGGGTCAGTGCTTATCTTAGAAAGAGAGAGTGTCTATGTTGCTTTTAACTTTCTCTATGGTTTTACTCTGCCCTTCCTGAATGCTGTGGGATAGGTTTGGCTGAGAGGGGGCAACAGGCCAAAGTCACTGAAGCTGCAATCCTGTTCACACTCATCAGGGAATAAATCTTATTAAACCCTAAGCAGGCATGCAAAAGATTGCACTGTCAGGGAGTTTTGTGGCCAGCGGAGATTTTAAATTCAAGTCTCCCTCGCCCAAGCCCAATACACTAACCATTATAGGACACCAACTGTGGCCTGAGAATGCCCCACCAACTCCAAGTTTTATCAAAGAATTTGTTAATTTTGCTCTTGTGCATTTATTTTCAAAATAAATAAGCCAAACATATAACATACAGAAAAAACCAGTGTCATCCTCCTTGTCGCCCCGACCCACCACACGAATATGACGCCAGGAAGGGTCCACTTCATTTCTAGGTCATGATAAAAAACTTATGGGACTGTACGGCCCACGGGCCTCCTTTGCAACCCAGCACTTCAGCAAATCCGACCGGCGGGGCGGCCTACAGCAGTCAACGGGCCACCAGCGGAACTTTGCCATGTTCTCCTAGTGGCGCCCCAGAGAATAAGGATGCCAAGCCAGCCTCCTCGCGTTTTGATTTCCCTACTTTGGCACTTGTACTGATCCAGACCTTTGGCCCGCCTCCAGCCTAGTCTTGCCGACACTGACTGGCAGCGGCTTTCTGGACTTTCAGGGAGGGTTTCTTCCTGTCTGGCTCTACCTGGAGACGCTGGGGACTGAACGCTTGCAAAGCAGGCCACTGAGCTAGGGGCCCTTTCCTTCTCTCCTCGATGCGCCAAGGCGCACAGCTTTGGATGGCCGAATCCATACCTAAGGGCCGTGCCACACGAGCAAGAATGCCCAGGGTAAGGCACTGGGGCCTCGTCACAGCTGCAACCCCCCTTCGCGCGATTTACCCAGGAGCAAGCCCCGCGAATCACGGCGGGTCTCGCTTTCGAGAGAGCACCGTGCCCAGAGAGCTCGCCGCCCAGTGCTGCCCCCTGCAGGCCCTTTGGGCCGAGGCGGGCCCGGGTTTTGTGCCTCTCTGCAGGGCGTTTGTCGTCGCCGTCGCTGCTGCTTTGAAACCAACGTCTAATCCTGATCTCGGAAGGGCGTGCAGGAGGCGAGTGGCGGCCGTGGCGGAGGAGAGAGAGGACGCCCCGGAGCTCTTGTGAATGCTGCTGCAGCGATGAGGGTGTGTCCTTGAGGCCCCCCCTCCGTGTCGTGGGAGGAGAAACCGGCGGCAGCGGCGGGAGGAGGAGGAGGAGGAAGTGGAGACGTCGTTGAATAGCGGGGAAATGGAGACCTGAAGGCTTGCTAGAGCCCCAGAGGAAAGAGGCGAGCGTGCGACTCTGGGCGCCTCTCACCTTCCCCGCGCCTCGCCCAAGACGGCGCTTTCTCGCCTGGGCGCGCTCTGAGCCGCTGTTGCCTCAGGCCGGGCTTCTGTGGACGGTAGCGATAGCCGCCGCCGCCGCCGCCTGCCCGCTCCATTAAACGGGCAGAGGAAGGAGGAAAAGAAGGAGGGCAGCGGCAGCACGCAGCAAGTAGCCGCGGCAGCAGCGCTTCTCCCTCGGCCGGAGGCACCTTCCCGAGATCTCGGAACCTTCCTGCTTCGCCCTGCCTGTCGGAGGGCCTGCGAGAAAGGGCTGCACCCAATTGCCGCCGCTCGCCCGGACCCGAGCCCGAGCCCAGCCGCCCCGACCTGACCCGTGCGAGCCTTTGGCGTGGGGAAGTTTCTTGATGGCTGCTGAGAGGTTTCTTTGGCTTTCCAACCCCGCTGCCACCGTTTGCAAGGCTTGAAAAAGAATATTAATAATAATAATAATAATAATCCCAAATATATGTGAAATACTAAAGACTTCGCCCTCTTCAGAGTTCCCGGCACCCAAAAGACTGAATGAGTGTCCTCTAGAGTGATCACACGCGTATAAACACACATTCATACACACACACACACAGAGACACGCTTCATTTCTGAGTAGGTGCCAGAATCTTCTTTTCTGCTTACTGGTGAAGGGTTCGTTTTCTTCCTACTTCTTCCCATCTGCAACGAACAAGTGGAAGACGAGATGCAGACCTTTTTGAAAGGGAAACGGGTTGGTTATTGGCTGAGCGAGAAGAAAATCAAGAAGCTGAATTTCCAAGCCTTTGCAGAGCTTTGCAGGTAAGAAATCAGTCTTGAGGGCCGTATGTATGTGCGGGTATACCTAAGAAATAACCCATACCCATTTCTCTGGGACTCCCTAAGTCAAGCCTTCTCCAACATGGTGTCTTCGAAGTATGTTGGCATACAACCCCAGACTCCCCTCCCCCGCCAGCTGGGACATAATGGGAATTGTAGTTCAGCACAGCTTTGGGAGGGCTGCTATAACTTGACATTGCCATCTTCCTTGACATTGCCATCTCCCAAGAATATTCATAGGATGGACCACTTTGTTTCTTAACCATGATCTCCTGGTTGGCATATTAATATGCACTTACCACACAGCATGGCTTAAACCCCTGTATAATTGCCACTTGAAGAATCAAGCCTTTACAAACCACTAACAAGTTCCTGATCAAGTGAAGAAAATATACCTGACTCCATGAAGATGTGAAACCATATAATTTCTTGGCTTTGTTTTTGTTTTGGGGGGACCTCCTCCTCCTCCTCCCTACCACCCTTCTTTTGCTACACCAATAACAGATGGGTTATAATGTGAGGTTTGAGAGATTATACAGACATATGAAGGTTTTAAATAACACATTGAGGGAAACTTCTAGCCCCAGAACTTTCTTCTGCTTTAAATGAAATGGTGGCGAACTGGTCCGTTGGGAGAATCCATAAAAGTGAAATGCTAGCAAGCTCTCCAGTTGTCTTTTTTGTTCTTGGTGGAGGAAGCAGTGTGAATCTATCCCATCTTGGACAGTTGTGCTTATATAACTAATATTCTGGCCTGGTCAATTTATTTCACTGGACCTAGCATCTTTGCATGATAACAATATTCTTTCACATCTTACATAAAGTGCAACAGTAAAAACCCTATACCTTAAGGTAAAATGGGCCTAAACTTCAGCAGTCTGTTGCAGAAACCTGGGAAAGGCCTCTCTTGTTTTTCTTCGCTCCATTATTCAGGGTTTGATTAAACTTACATTTTCATGTGCCATTCAGCACATGAAAATGTGCATGAAAATGTGCTTACAGGACTTATTGATGGTCAAAGCAAGAAAGACTTTTGCTTTGAGTTGGGAACCAAAATGGTAACATAATGGTTCCGGCTACTAAATAGATGAATGAGCTGATTGTCTTGGTTCATAACACAGGCTATTCAGGCTTATTATATAGTGGTCCTGCTAGAGACAGTAGTGGTTTCATATGGGTATTTGGGACACTACAGAATGGTTAAACAGTAAAAAATTTTGCCTGGCTATGAGAAGTTACACATTTTTCAAACAAAGGTGGTCATTTTCCATGGCTTTCATGATTGGTGGCAGCAACCTCATTTAATGGTTTCTGCTATTTATTTCTTGACTTGCTAAATTTCTCAAATCATATATTCCAGATTATATTTTCAGTTAAAAACTTGCTGAAAACAATTGAGGCCTCATTGTTAGATATCTAGTCAATGTTTTGACTGTGTTTCTATTCAAGACAATTTCCTTTGCTTCTTTTAAACATTATTTCATCTCTGCTTGTCTATAATGACCAACCAGCATTCCCGAGGCTTTTTGTTTCAAAATGCATTAGTTGAACTGCTGAGTGCCTTTTTTTGGTAAGAGGGGGTAATAGTTTAGGAGAGATGGAAGCTGCTGGTCTGCAAACATGTCTTGAAAGTTCATGGAGGGAAAGCTAGTCAATAAATTAGTTGTGAGATCTTGGTTGCATGAGCAGTAAGCCCTGCCAGGGTATAGTATGAAATATTTTCTGCTAGGCAGAAGGAAACCTAATGGGCTACATGAACTTCTCCAGACTATTGGAATGCAGGAAGCACTTTTGTCAAGTCTCATCTACTATACTAACGAGTAATAGTTCTTCAGGATTTCAAACGGGATTTCTTTCCCAGACCTTGGATATCTCCAAGCTGGGAGAATGGGCATAAAAATGGCAAAAGTGGTTCAGTGTAAACAAGTTTAAAGTGATGTATCTTGGGGCAAACAATCTCAGCTTCACATATACATTGGTGAAGTCCAAGCTAGTGGTAATTGACCAATAAAGTGATCTTTGAATTTGTGTATACTTCATTGAAAATCTTGCCCCAGTGTGTGGCTTTGAGATAAGCTAATTTCTTCTTAGGCATAAGTAGGAAAGAAATGGAAAATAAAACTGTCATACAAATCTGTATTGAATCTACATTTGGAATACTGTGCACCATTCTGGTCACTGCACCCAAAAAATATATTGTAGGTTTGGAAAAAGTGCAGAAGAGGCCAACCAAAATGATCGTGGGGCTAGAACAGCTCCCTATGAGGAAAAGTTACAAAACATAGAATTGTTTAGAAAAAACTTGAGAGACAAAAGAGGTCTACAAATGATGCATGGTGTCCAAAAATTGAACAAGGAGACATTTTTCTTCCTCTCTCATAGACTTGGAAAATGGACTCATGCAATGAAGTTGACGGATGGAAGATTCAGGACAGATCAAAGGCAGGACTTCTTCATATAGCACATTATTAAATCACAGAATTCACTACAAGAAGTAGTGATTGCCACCAATTAGGATAGCTTTAGAGGGAGATTTGGCAAACCCATGGAAGATAAAGGTGTCAATGGCTTCTAGTCCTGGTGGCTGTGTGCTGCCTCCAGTATCAGAGGCTGTATGCCTATGCACACCATTCACAGCCTGCTTGTGTGCTTCCCAAGGGCAGCTGGTTGGCCTCTGTTTGAACAGAATGCTGGAAGTGAGGAGCATTTGGTCTGATCCAGAGTGCCTTATCTTCTGATTTCCTGAAGGGCAAAGATGTTGGAGGGTAGGGTGATAGGAAGGTTGAGCACCCTTGTTGCTTATCTCCTACAAGTTGCCCTTCTTAATTCTGATTGGCTAGCGAGAATTAATGATGGGTGTGCCGAGGTATAATTCATAGAACGCATAGTTCAAGGTATAAGTAGAACTGTGCATTGTGCTCAGAAATGCTTTTGTAAAACTTGATCTTCTTACTTACCTTCAGGGCATATAACTCTAATATTTTGAGATCAGCTTCTGAATGAGTAATACCATGGCTTAGACATGCTTAATGGGTGATGTAGCTTAGGCTGGAAGCTAAAATTGCCGTCTTAACATTTTTCAGCCCTGATAGTACACTTCCCATGCTTGTAAATATTCTTATATGCCAAAATGAGGTCACCCAGTTAAAGTATAAATTAATAGATTAAATATGCATATATGTATATCTAAATGACATAGAGGCATTTCTTGTCCTCTGATATAGTAGATAAACTTTCCCTGACCTTGGCCATGTTAGTTGAGAGTTGTAGCTCATCTAATCTGGAGTGTACCAGATTGGGAAGACTAGGAAATGCTTCCTTAAGGTGCTAATTGCCATCTGCCTTTTAAAGTAAGCATTTATATCTACAACACAAAACAAAAACATTAATCTAATGAATTGTGGCATCATTTTAGCTAATCCAAAACAGCAGCATGAATGACCCTGACCTTCCCACCCCTTTCTTTCCTTGGCCAGCCTCAGAACCTCCTGAAAGTGCTTCCCAATCTGTTGCGGGATCTTGCTGACAGGGCTGGGTGGTAACACAATAGGATGAGTGGGAGGAGGAAGCTTGCAGACAATCTGGTATTGGTACATTCCATTAGTGAGACTGTTGATGCCTCTCCTTCTGGCTGCATTTCTGCACATTTTCCCTTCCCTTGAGCCACCCCCCCCCCCCATGACACAACTCATCCAACTTAGTATGGTCCATTTCAGGAGGAGGTATACAGACTGGTGGGAAAAGTGAAGTCCACTTGCTACCTTCCATAGTGCCTATGCGAATCAAATCCAGCATTTTCTCATTGGGTAGTTTTGCAGGTTGACTAAATGTTGCATCCCTAGTCAAAAGCTTAGAAATATTTCCATGCTGCAGGATCTTATTTCTTTGGTAATGTTTTCTCTGTGTGATTGGTTTCTGTTGTTTAGGACAGGGTGGGCAGATGATTTTTGCTTATAACCCCTAGCATCCCTCACCATGGCTTATGATAGCTAGCACTGGTGAGTGTGGAGAGCCAGACCATCCAGACAGC